CCCCCCCCCCCCGCAACAGCCGAGTCTCTGCTGCCTCCGTGGCCCAGCCCAACAGTTTCATTTCCCGGGTGGGAGAAGGGAGACAAGAGAAAAAGAGAGGATGCTGAGGCCTCGGGGCCCAGGGTGGTGTCCAAGGCTCTGTCTGCCTCTCCTGGGAGTGTCCAGCAGCACTGCCCAAATCCCGGGTTCTCCCCTCCCTCTGCTTTGCCCAGCGAGGGTCGGGGGGGGGGGCCCACTCTGATTTCCATGGCTCGCGTCCTTCACAGCAACACTTTGGTTTGAAGAGAGACACAGAAAGAACGAGATTGATAGAGGCGAGAGAAAAACAAAGAGAGAGAGACAAGAAAAAAAAAAAAAAGAGACAGGAGAGGACAGACGTTAAGAGAATAGAAAAAGAAATCAAAGGAGGAATCAAACCACCCGAAAGTTTGTTAGTTTTCCTTCGTCCATTCTTTTTGCCTTATTATTCCTTTTTCCTGTTTTTTTTTTTAAAGCTTTTTCAGTTGATTTGGAGGGGGGAGGGCAGGGAGTGTGGGGCTCTTCACCCTGGTCCCTGACACCCTCTCTCAGCCCTGCCCACCAGCTTTCATCCGCCCTGGCTGAGGGACAGGCCCTGCCCCAGCCACCCCCCTCCGGCTTTCCCGAAGACGACGTCCATGAGGTATTTGTGAAGAGAAAGAAGCATCCATCCTTCCATCAGCCTTGGGGACCAAGAGCCTGAACCACTGGGGCAGGGCTTGGCTCCACCTCACGGCTCCTTCTTATTCTTGAAGAGTCCTCATCTTCTTTCCCTTAAATATATGTATATATATATATAAATTCTTTTTTTTTCTAGTTTTAATTTATTGTTTGGTTTTTTTGTTTTTGTTTTTTTTTTTTTGGTTCAAAACTTTGTTGGCCTCCACAGTAGCAGGAGGGCAAAGTGGCTCCCAGCGCCAGCTCTCCTCTGTCCGTTGTTGAGATGTATCCAGGGCTGAGCATTTAAACACAGGGTCCAGCCAAGACTCGAGGAAGGTTTTGTGGGAGTGGTGGCCACCACAGTGCCCTCTCAGATGGGGACCACAGGTCATGGCACTGTCCCTGCCACATGGACCCTGATGGAGACGCCATCTCGAGGAACCCCACCATGGGGGTGTGTGTGGGTATGCATGTGTGTGGGGGAGAGGAAGAGGCATCTGCCAGTATCAGAGGGGCATGGGGGATGGTGAGGTGATTTTTCTTTTTGGTTTCTGGTCAATGTCAAAGAACGTGAAGGATTCCCACGGATAGGCACTGGAATATGAATTTTTTTCTCAGGGAAACTGACAGACAAGGGTGAAAAAAAGACAGCTTGAATGTCCTCACCTCATCCCCTCTTGCCTGGAACGTCTACCTTCCCATGGGCTGGGGAGGAGGGAGAGCCCAGAGGAGGGTGATGGGCTGAGGGAGGGTGTGTGAGAGCTAGAACTTGGTGAAAATGGCCTAGCCCACCCTTTCAAGGGACAAGGGAAAGGTACAGGGGTGGAAAGTCATCCCATGCCTTCCCCTGCACTCTCCCTTGGCTGGGGGGTGGGGGTGGGGGACAAGGAGGAGGTTAAAGCGAGACCGCCCCCCTTGCCCCAATGGGGAAAGCTGGGGGCCAGGGGAGAGGGGGATGCATGGTAGGGACACATTCTGTTGAGCTCAACGCTAAAAATTCTGTACATCCTTTGGATGAAGCTACTGAATATTTGGTGTAAGATTGTTCAGGCCCTTTCTCTTTCACCTTCTGGAAAAGAACATTTGGCAGGTGGTTCAAAGCCTACCCCTCTGCCCCAGGCTGTGTCCTGTCTTCACTGGGGGCTAGGGCTAGGAAGCTGGCACATTCTCTGTTTCCTTCTCTGGCCCCCACTGGAGGAAGCAAGGTTGAGGGTTGGCCCCACAGCCAGGGGCTCGGTGAGGTCCGCCCTGTGAGGTTTCTCGGCCCCTGGCTGGGGGTTCTTATTTGGTGTCATAGCAGTGAGGGTGAGGTCTGGCTTGCAACTGGTTTTTGGTTTGTTTGGTTTTGTGGGGGATTTTTTGTTTGTTTTTGGTTTTTTGTTTTTCACCTCTGGTTCCTTTGGGGCAGCTGGTTTCTGTTGTGATTATTTTTGGTTTTCTTTCTTCTTTTCTTTTCTTCCTTTCTTTTTTTGGTTGGTTGGGTTTTGTTTTTTTTTTTTGGTCTTTCCTCCCTTGTTGCTCCTGCTCCAAGGACCCTCTGCGCCCCCACCGCTGGCCGGGACCGAGGTAGGGGTCAGAGGAGTAGGACGGGAGGCATGGTGGGCCCTCACTCCGGCTTGGACCCTGCCTCCGCCCCCCCTGGGCCTCCGGGGGTCTGTGCTGCCACCTCGCTGCAAGTGGAGGAGGAGGACGACGAAGAGGATGAAGAAGAGGAGGATGAGGAGAGGCCAGGAGACTTGCTAGAGATGGAAGCTGCCACAGCCGCAGCGGCTGCCGAAACCAGGCCCACGCCAGGTGGGGCACTGAGCAGGGGCAGCCCAGCGTGGTTCAAGAAGAGTGGCGAGGTCACCAGGCCAGGGCTCCCTGGGGCCGCACCAGCTGCCCCCAGCACCAGGTTCCCGCTGCTGTCAAGGCTGGTAAGGGGCAGGGTTCCACCAGAGGCCAGGGCTGGCAGGGAGAGAGAGAGGCCGGGCTGGGGGTGCCTTCCAGCATCCTGCAATGTCCCCTGTCTTCCCATTGGTCCCACTGACCCCCATCAGCAGCCCTTACACCTTCCCCAAAGTTGAGATGGGTATGAAGAGGAGAGCGATGCAGTGAGCAGGGGCAGGATGGCATGGCTGGAGCAGCAATGGGGGTGGGGGTAGGGCTTGTGGCCCCAGGGGGCAAGGCTGGTGACGATGAGAGTGACATGAGGCAGCACGCACCTTGGATAGTGGCCAAAGGGTTGTTGCTCATGAGGGCTGGACTCAGCCCGGAGCTCAACCCCACCATTGTGCTTCTGCAAGAGGCAAAGCAGAGGCATTAGCAGGGGCGGAGACCCGCCCGGCAGAACTGGGGCTCAGCTCCCCACCCTGGAAGCAGCAGCGACCCTTCTCCCCACAGCCTCCCCACCAGCAGCTGCCCACTTACCCCGCGCTGGGGTTCAGGCCCGACAAGCCGATAGCCGAGTGGCTGCCTTGAGGGCTGGGATTTGTGCTGTTGGTGGTGGCGGGGGGTGGGGGGGTGACAGAGGGGATGGAATTGAGGGGGGGCGCGGCCCCGCCCCCGCCCCCACCCCCTCCAGCTGTCCGGCTGGGGTGGAGAGTCCCCACAGCTGAGGATAAGGTAGTAACTGCCAGAGAAACATAGAGAGAGGGAGAGTTCAGCTTCCGTTTGCCTTCCACCCAGGAACCTGTGGTCCACGCCTGCCTCCTCCCCACCCAGTCCTACAGCGTCTCCTCAGTCAGATCCGACTTAGGACTCTCGCCCTCTCTTCCCAGGGCCATTTCTTTGTGCCTCTGTCACGGTGACAACTATCACAATAATCGCAATAAGAGCAATGTCACCCACTGAGTCTGTGCCCTGTGCCCGGCGTGTGCTAGCACCCCATGTACCCTGCCCTGAACCTCATCACCCCTGGGCTCCTTTTGTACAGAAAGGAACGGAGGGCGCCCAGAAGACAAGGCCCTATGGCTCCCTCTAGGGGCCAGGCTGGGGGATGCGGCTGTGCACGCGGGGCTTTCGGCTCAGAAATTGGCAGGTTCAGGGGGCTCAGAGCCCAGGCCAGGGCAGCAATTCCTGGCTCTGTCACGTCCCAGCTGTGCCCTTGGGGAAGTAACTTCACTTCCCTGGTCTCATCTGGAAAATGGGGCTAGTAATAGAACCCACCTCATAAAATGGATGTGAGGACTAAACGAGTCAATATTCTCTATAATATTCTCTGACATTTAGAACAGTGCCAGGCTCACCCTTACTACTTTATAAACTTATTACTTCCTAACGTGGGAAGAAGCAACACGGTATTTGTTTTGTATTATTCTTATGTATGGTGTTAAACACACCCTGTCCCAAGAAGGGGGAAAGGAGGGCTTTGTACAAAAGTGTGTGTGTGTGTCTCACACTTGTATGTATATATTCATGTATATAGCGCCTGAGTGTATTATACATTCACAGTAATTTTACAAAAACTGAGACCACCAGTTCTCAGACAGGTAAGTCACCTCTGGAGTTCACATAGTTTATAAATGCCAGGAACAGAACCCAAGTACATCGCCTTTCGTCAACCCCATGCTTTTCTCAGGAAATCGTGGAGATGAAAGCCAGTGGCTCTGACCAGGAGGGGTGAGGCTGCCCTCTTCCCTTTGTTTTCTCTGACCCCTCATCCCCAGGCTCAGCCTTGATACCCACGGATGCCCTGAGCCACTTGAGACCCTCGGGCTCAGGCCTGCACTGTGTTCTCCACCCCAACCCCCCACCATCTTCTGCCTCCCTGACCTGTTGTGCTCAGACTGCTGGAAGCTTGGGACATCGGCAAGGTCCCGGCACCTCCCTGGGGTGTGACCTGGGGAGAGAGAAGAAAAGGCATGGTTAGGCCACTGTCTCCCAGCAGCCTCTGTGGTGCTCCCTGCGGATCTGACCCTACTCCTGACTCCAGGATGAGAAAGGGGGGCTCTGGGTACAAGGCTGTTTATATTGTGTCAGGTGCTTCCCACCATATCTTTCTTCACATGTACGCTAGGTGACCCTGAGCAGGAAGGAGTAATTCCTATTGGATGGGCTCCCCTCTCCTCTGACACTATCCAGGTCTGAAGTGTGTGTAGCGGGTGGGTATGATGATAAGTTGTGCCTCTGCATCAGGCTGTTGGGATCTCATATGGCTTGATTTTCTGGGACCATCCACCAGCCTCCTTCTTGGCCTCCCTGCCTCCTGTCTCATCCTTCCATCAGCCCCAGAAGCCTCACTCTAAATGTCACCCTGTCCTTCCCCAGCTCAAAACTCCTCCTTAGCTTCTACTGCCCAAGTTCAAGCTCCTCAGCATGTAACTTGGATGTCCGGCCACCCCCCACCTTCCCCATACATACTCACTCATTTACATTCTGGCTCCAACCACACTAAATTGTACTGGAATTCCTCATATAGGGCTTGACACACTTTGGCCTGTAGGTCTTGTGCACCCCAGTTCCCTTGCCTGTCCTTCATTTAGCTGGCTGACTCTTTTGTCCTTTATAACTCAGATCAGACAGTCCCTCCTACCTCCACATCTTGGCGATAGGGGTGCAGGGGCTCCTCTGGGCCCCTTGCTCCTCTCTGTAGTGTCCCATCCCTTTCCACATAAGCTGGAACAAAGGGATGTCCCCGTGTGTCTGAGCCCAAGTGGGTCTGTGTGTGACTGTGTACCTGAATGGACACCCAGGGGTGTAATGATGTCCCTGCCTGTGTCTGTGTGGTTGTGAACCTGTGTGTGTGGGGGGGTGCCTACATCCCCTACCTGGTATCTATCCCTGTGTGACTATGTCCTGTGATAACTGTTTGACTATGTTGGTGTGTGTCTGTGGGTGCTTGTATCCCCCACATAAGACCACAGTTCCTTGGAAACTATGTGTCCCTGTGTGACAGTGCTCCATCTCTGTGACAGCCTGTCCCCAAGGGTGACTCTCCCTGCCTCTGTTCTAGGCACTGTGGGCAACCTGGTAAATTGTGCTTCACACAAGGTGCCTGTGAAAGGGCAAAGGGAAGGGGTGGCTGAACTTTGTGCCCTCATCCCCCAGAGGGCCTCTGGTACCAGATGAGGGCTATAGCTGGCTGGCTTCCCCGGGCTGGGCAGCATGGGGGCCGCGCTGCAGGGGTTGATGCGTTTCTCCTTCTGGCGCCGGTTGCAGAACCAGACGCGGATGACTTCCTTCTCCATGTGCAGCTGCTCTGCGATCAGCAGGATCTCCTCTGAGGTAGGCTTCTGGTTCTGCAGGCAGAGGGCTCTTTAGCTTGGACCCCCCTCCGGCCCTTCCTCAGGGCCGCCCAGGACAGGGGGCCGGGGGGTGGGGTGGCTCACCGCTAGAAAACTCTTCTCTAAGGCGAAGCGGACGTTTGTCTCGATGCTGGTCCTCTTCTTGCGTCTCCGGCCAGGGAGCCCATCGAAACCCAGGCTGGGGCTGCTCAGCTGGTTGGGGCTGGGCAGGCTGGAGTCCACAGACATAGTCTCTGTTCCCAGGAGGAGACAAGGACATGAGAGGGCGCCTCCCGCGACTCACTGCCCGCAGCGCGCCCAAGAGTCCTGGCCCTGTCCCACCTGCGTCGTTGAGCCACTTCTCCAGGAGGGGCTTGAGTTTGCACATGTTCTTGAAGCTCAGGTTGAGGGCCTCGAAGCGGGAGATGGTTGTCTGGCTGAAGTCGTTGCCGTAGAGCTTGCCCATGGCCAGGCCCACATCACCCTGGGCCCGTGGGGCGAGAAGAGGGCGGCGGTCAGGGTGGGGCCATCAAGTACTGGGCTCACCCCGCCCACTAGTTTACCACACCCCCTCGCCCCTCCTACCAGATGGCTATGCCGCCCTCGTCCCGCCCACCACCTGAACTCGCCCCCACGCCCACTGCTCGTTAAGCCCTGTGTGGCCCCAGACCTGCGTGAAGCCCAACTTGATGCGGCGCTGCTTGAAGGTGCGGGCGAACTGCTCCAGCTCCTCCAGGTCACTGGGCTCCTCGGGGTGGGATGGTGGCTCCAAGCATTTGGGAGGCTGCGGGTGCGAGAGGTGCGGTTCGGGCAGCGTGGGGCGGGTCACGGCCTGGTGGGGTGGGCAGGTGGGCGGGATGCAGGACGGAGGACCAGGATGGGGCTCAGCAATGGCTGAGCAGTCCCCCCTCTCTCCCTCCCTGCGTCCAGTCTCTTCCTGCAGACGCCCCTCCACCTCCCCGCAGGAGGCCCTTCCACACTGGGCTGTCAATCCCCATCAAGGTTACAATCTGCTGCCCCACGTGGAGCCTCTCACTGCTGGAACTCTGCAATTCCCTCCCAGCCTGCAACTCCCAGTAGGAGCCCACGGCTTCTTGAGCCAAGGCCCTTTCCCTGGAGCTGGGGGCGGTGTTTCAATTCTCCTGTCAAACGGGAATCAAGGACAGGCTCTGCTACCGAATTGCTGGGTAACTCTGGCAAGCCTCTTAACCTCCCTGGGCCTCAGTTTCACCCTCTGCAGGATGGGAACAATCACAGCTGCTCTGCCTACCCCACGGTGTTGTTGGAAGAACTTGGTTAAAACTGGTTAGGTTTCAAATAAAGTAAAAGTAGTTTAAAAAAAATAGATGGGAAGGATGACTGCGGGGATTTACAAAGAAGCGACAGCTCTCTCTGGAATGTTTCATTTCCCTAAAAATAAAAGACCTGAAGCAGGTGATGGGTGCAGGGATGTTGGTCACACAGGTCCTTGGTCGATTATCCAAAACCCTGGGGCCAGATGTGTTTTGGAATTCAGAAAGTTTTCAGATTTTATTTTATTTTATTTTTGTAGCTGAGCCATCCTGCCATCCTCAGCGGCAACTCAGCTCAGGCCGGGCATCGAACCGCTGTTGCTCAGAGCTTAAACTCTTGAGCAAGCTCTTAACCAACTGAGCCACTCGGCCAGCCCTGGAAAGTTTTCAGATTTTAGAAAGCTCACGTGGAGCATATATGATAGATGATTTGACCCCCACCTCCACCAAGGTCAAGGCATCGAACACATTAACAGCTCTCGGCAAAGCCCAAATCACACAAGAGGGATAAAGAAAAGTCACACGGCACCTCACATCAGGTTAAGACAGGTTTTGCAGCCAAATGACTTGTGGTCCCACATTACAAAAATAACTTGACTTTCTGAGCAGTTTTGGATTTCACAGTTGCAGCTAAGCCCTCTATTAGTCTCTGAACTTTTCGAGTTTTCTAAATAGTTCATGTATTTTTGAAAGGACTGTTAAAAAATGGGTAGGCGGGAACTTTGAAATCCATAAAGAATTGTGAAAGATTGTTATGAAAGTCTAGAACCCAGGCAGCAAACCAAGAAAGGCAATGGGGCCAGGCAGGAGGAGGTTGAGGTGGCCTGGAGAGCTCACACCCTGACAGGGGGGACCCCTGCTCCAGCCAGCAGCCAGCTGCCCACTGCCAGCAAGCCACGCAGACACAGATCCAGCTTTGTCAGAGCTTCTGGTTTGTCAAGAGAAGCTGGGAATCTGGCGTTTTCTAGGAATTTTGTTGTCAACTAATTCAATTTTAAAAATATGGTGTAGGGGCCAGCTAAGTGGCGTGTTGGTTAAGAGCTGGCTTGGGACGCCAGAGGGCACTGGTTCAGATCCCACATATGAGGGCCAGTGACACTGCCCTCTACAGCTAAGATGCTGAACAACAGCTCAACCTGGAGCTGGGCTGCCATGAGTTGCCGGCGACGGCGTAGGCTGCAGCCCCTGCTGCAGTGGGTTGCCATGGGCTACTGTGTGTAGCCAGCAGCCAGTGTGAGCAGCCAATGGGCTACCGTGTGTAGCCAGCAGCCAGCGTGAGTGGCCAGCAGCCGCCGTGAGCGGCCGTCCAGAAGCCAGCGACTGATCTGCCTCACCCGGGAAGAGCGCAATGATGGTGCCAACTTGGGCCAGTGAAGCAATGTCCACAACTAGACTGAAGAACAAAAAGGACAGCAACTTGTCTGTTCCCCTCCCCCCAGTTCCCCAATTAAAAAAAATAAAAATAAAAATAAAAATATGGTGTGGGGGGCGGCCAGTTAGCTCAGTTGGTTACAGCGCAGTGCTCATAACACCAAGGTTGCCGGTTTGATCCTCGCATGGGCCACTGAGCTGTGTCCTCTACAACTAGATTGAAACAACTACTTGACTTGGAGCTGATGGGTCCTGGAAAAACACACTGTTCCCCAAATAAATAAATAAATATGTGATGTGGGCCTAATAAAACACATCTGTATCCCTCCCCCCACCCCCCCCCCACACACACACCGTTTTCATTGGTCTGGGAAAGGGGTGTGAACTATCCAACAGACCCTTCCTCAGAGACCCTCCATTTGGAGTCCTGGAAGAGACCTGAGGAATTCGAACCTAAAGGCTTTCCACCCCAGGAAATTTCCTGTGTTTGTGCACATGTGCATTTTGGGGTAGTAGGGGTCAGATCCAAATCTTCCATCAGATTCTCAAAGGAGTCCATGTGCCTGAGAGGGTTGAGAACCACTGGTCTGGCTGACTCCCTTTGTTTTATGGAGGACGAAACTGATCCAGACAGAGACAGCAGCTTATCTAAGGTTCCACAGCAAATTAGTGGCAGAGCAGGGCGGGGCCCCAGGTCTCCCAACTCCTGTCCTGGCCCCTGTGGCTGTGGGGTGGGCCACATGGAGAGGAGACCCCCCCGCCCCCGACTCTGTCCTCATTCACCCAGCCTTTCGCAGGCCCTGCTGCTGACTCAGCATGGTGCACTCAGTGGACACTCACCTGTGTGGGCAGCCCGGCCCGGGGCTGGGAGGTCAGAAGAGCTCCCTGGGTTTGCTGAGGTAGCTGGAATAGATTTGGCGTCGGTAGCAGGCCTGGGGAGACAAGAGAAGCACATGGGGTGAGGGGTGAGGGGGAGTTCTGTGGGGGCAACAGGGAGGCCATCGGGGTGGGGCCTTACCTGGCTGACTCTGCTGGGCCTGCGGCAACAGGAACTGAGCAGGTGGCTGGAGGTGGTGACCGGGAACAAGCACCAGCTGCTGGAGCTGGAGGAGCTGCTGTATGTCCTGCCAGGGAGAGGGGTGGACAGAAGGACAGCCTGAGTCCCTCTGCCTCACCTAAGTGCCACGGGGTGCTGCACAGGGTGGCCTGGCAGTTGAGGGATGGAGCACTGGTCTCTGAACAGTGTCCCTGAGCTAAGGGCACCCGGGAGACTTCTCCCAGCCCCGGGCTTCTGGAACACCCTACCTGTACCATCCAGGAGGGCTCACTTTCTTTTTTTTAAAGATTTTATTGGGAAATTGGGGGAGGGGAACAGACAAGTTGCTGTCGTTTTGTTCTTCAGTCTAGCTGTGGAGGACGTTGCTTCACTGGCCCATGTTGGTATTGTGATCATTCCGCTCTTCCCGGGTGAGGCAGATCCCATTGGACTGCTGCTCACGGCGGCTCTTGGCAGCTCACACAGCCTGCCGGCCGCTCACAGTAGCTTATGGCAGCCCACTGCAGCAGGGGCTGCAGCCTACCCCTTCGCCAGGGCCTCAATGGCAGCCTAGCTCTAGGTCGAGCTGTTGTTCACCATCTTAGCTGTAGAGGGCAGTGTCACTGGCCCTCATGTGGAATCCAAACCAGGGCCCTGCAGCTCAGAGCTGGTGTCCCAAGCCAGCTCTTAACCAACGCACCACCTGGCCGGCCCAGGAGGGCTCACTCTTCATTTACCTTTTCCTTCTTGATGAAATATTTGCCTTGTCTTACATTCCCATGGAACAATTAGAACTGTTTAAAAATGTAAATCAGACCAAGTCTTCCAGCCTTTTAAAATACTCCCAAGGCAAATGGCATTATGTCTGGAATGAGCTTTAAAGTTCTCCAGCACATAGTGGGTGAGGAGATCGTACAACCACTTTGGGAAACTCTTGGTGCTGTTATGAGTTGAACTGTGTTCCCCCCAAAAGGATATGTTGGGGGCCGGCAGAGTGGTGTGTTGGTTCAGAGCTGGCTTGGGACGCCAGCTCTGAGCAGCAGGGCCCCAGTTCGGATCCCACATGAGGGCCAGTGATGCTGAGCCCTCTACAGCTAAGATGGTGAACAACAGCTCGACCTGGAGCTGGGCTGCCATGAGTCGCCAGTGACGGCGTAGGCTGCAGTGAGGCTGCAGTGGGCTGCCATAAGCTACCGTGTGTGGCTGGCAGCCAGCGTGAGCGGCCGTCCCGGGCCAGTGACCGATCTGCCTCACTTGGGAAGAGTGCAATGACAATACCAACATGGGCCAGTGAAGCAATGTCCTCCACAACTAAAGAACAAAAGGACAGCAACTTGTCTGTTCCCCTACCCGATTCCCCAATAAAATCTTTAAAAAAAAAATGATATGTTGGAATCCCTACCCCCAGACCCCCAAAGTGTGACCTTACTTGGAGATACGGTCTTTGCAGATGATGAAGTTAAAGTGAGGTCACTAGGGTGGGCCCTAATCCACTACGACTGGTGTCCATATAAAAAGGGCAAATTTGGACACAGAGACAGACACACACACAGAGAAGACGATGTGAAAACACAGGGAGAAGACGGCCATTACAAACCAAGGAGAGAGGCCTGGAACAGATCCTTCCCTCCCAGCCCTCTGGAGAAACCAGCCCTGCTAACACCTTGATTTCAGACTTGTAAGCCTTCGGAACTCTAAGATAATAAATTCTTGTTGTTTAAGACACCAAATCTGTGGTTCTTTGTTATGGCAGCCCTAGCAACCAAAACAGGCACTATTTACTACAGCTGATTCCACGCCTGCGTATAAGCCACCACAAGTGCGTACATGTGTTCACCAAGACACGTGCTAGAATGTTCACGGCAGAGCCATTTGTAATAGCCAAAACCTGAAGATAGCCCAAATACCCATCAACAAGTGAATGGGTAAATAAACTGTGATTCATGGAATGCTACAGCAATGAGAATGAGCAGGCTACAATCTACAATGACACAGCAGTATAAACTTCTCAAACGTAATGATAAGTGAAAGAGGCTGCACAATAGAGAACATCCTGTATGAGTCCTTGTATGTCCCATTTGCATGTCAGAGGTTGGGAGGTAGAGACTAGAAGAGATCCCAGGCGGCTTCTGAGGAGCCGCCATATTCAGTTTCCAGATCTGGGGGCCAGTGACATGGGCGTGCTGTTTATGAGTATCACTGAGCTGTATACTTATGATTTGCACTTTTCAATATTTGTTGTACTTCAGTGAAAAGATTTTTTTTTAAAGGGGAATGAGGCAGGGAAAGAGAGAAAAAATCCAGTCCCTCCACCAAAAAAGTAAGAGTATAGATGAAAGAGGTTTGGCAAAATGTTGGTATCTACTGAGCTGGGTAGAGATACATGTGGTTCCTGATATCATTCTCTTTACTTTTAGGTTTGAACATTTCCAAAAGAAAAAGCAACCCCCGCCACCCCCGCCCCCTGCCCCCCCCACACACACACACCTTCAGTGGCTTCTTGGAGCCCACATCCTTACAAGTAAACTCCTCACCTGGCCTCTAAGGTCCCTTATACTGAGGCCGGTGCTGGTCTTCCTGACCTCAACTCCTACCTCAGGGCCTTTACACGTGCTGTTCCTTCTGCCAGGCAGTTCTAGTCCTTACACTCCTGCCTGGATCCTTCTTGTCACTCGGGTCCTAACACAAAGTCACCTCTTCAGAGATGCCCTCATTGACCACCTACTCTAAACCAGCCCACCGCCACACCTCCCTTTACCTCTAATTCACCTCCTTCGTAAGATTTATCACTATCTCAAGGTGTCTCGCTGTCTGTTTACTTGCTCATGGTGTGTCTCTCTCACTTGTCAGTTCCATGAGAAGGAGAATGTGAGCTTGACTGTTTTGGTCACTGCTGTAATCTCAGCACCTAGGACAGCATCTGGCACCCAGAAGATGCTCCGTATATTGGGTTGTCGGAAAAGTCATGACGTACTTTTTCTCTGTTTTTTGTTTTAAAAATGCATCATGACTTTTCTGACAACCCAATATTTATTGAATGAACCAAGACTGATGCTTCATAATTTACTTAGCAACTTTTATGTATAGTTGCAAGTTATATTGCTTCCGGTTACATTTCTTTTTCCCTTCTAGGAAATTGGTGTGGGGTGAGGGTAGGGAGGTGACACATGCCCCTGAATTCCTCCCAATGTTATTATTATTCCAGAGACCAATTTAATGTCCCAGGAAGTGAACCACTGGGAGGGAAATATAAACAACTCGACACAAAGAGCTCACTTCTCTAATACATAAAGAGCAATTTAAAATCAATAAGAAAAAAACTAATGGGGCTGGCCGAGTGGCACATTGGTTAAGAGCTGGCTTGGGACGCCAGAGGGCCCCGGTTCGGATCCCACATATGAGGGCCAGTGACACTGCCCTCTACAGCTAAGATGCTGAACAACAGCTCAACCTGGAGCTGGGCTGCCGTGAGTCACCGGCGAGGGCGTAGGCTGCAGCCCCTGCTGCAGTGGGTTGCCATGGGCTACCGTGTGTAGCCTGTAGCCAGCAGCCAGCATGAGCGGCCAGCAGCCGCAGTGAGCGGCCGTCCAGAAGCCGGCAACTGATCTGCCTCGCCTGGGAAGAGCGCAATGATGGTGCCAACTTGGGCCAGTGAAGCAACGTCCTCCACAGCTAGACTGAAGAACAAAAGGACAGCAACTTGTCTGTTCCCCTTCCTCCAATTCCCCAGCACTGTTCCCATCCCCCAATTCCCCAATAAAAATTTTTTAAAAATAAAAATAAAGAAAGAAATAAAAAAAATAATGACCCAGTAGTAATCTGATCAACAGATAGGTCTGGTGACTGCCCAGCAAAGGAAATACAAACAGCTCTGAATGAAAAAATATTCAGATTCACTCACAATAAGATAAACACAGCTATCAAATCAGCAGATACCAACAGTGCATGACACATGTTAGGGCATGTGGGGAAACTCCCTTGCACATCGCTGGGGAGAGGGTAATTTGGCACTGTCTACCAAAATTACAAATGCACATACCTTTTGACTCAGTCATTCCACTTGTAGGAATTAATCTTAGGGATATACTCACACATGTGCAGAATAACCCCTCGAAAGGATACTCCCAGCAACATGAGGTATTTTAGCAGAAGAGTGGAAACAAGCTCAGCGCACAGCAGTGGAGGGAAGGTGAGTGCATTAGGGTGGATCTTTATGATGGAATATTATGCAGTAATGAAAAATAACAGGATGCTCTTTGTGTCCTGATATGGAACAATCTCCAAGATGTCCTGTTGAATAGAAAGCTCAAGAGGCAGGACAGTGGACCTTGACTGATGTGCTACTGTTTGTGTTTGAAAAAATTATATCTAAGTATCTGCTTGGGGCTGCATGGGTCAGATCTAGAAAACTATACCAGAAACTGGCAACACTGTAAAATAAACCCTTCTGTACCTCTTGAATGCTGAACGTTTATCTCGTCCAAATAAAGAAACAAATATCCAGGTGTTCCACGCCCACCCACCCAGTTGAACAGTCTCTTCTGCCCAGCATCCCTGCTTTTCCAGTCATTGGTCTTGTGACATTTCAAGCCTGTTCCCTGTCTGCCTGCGAAGGCCTCTGCTTTCTCCGTGTGTTTTGGAAAGTGGACGGAGTACCCAATGCTCCTGACCTCTCACCTTTCTCATTCTTACTGTTAATCATCTAAGAATGCAGCTTAAGGGGTTTGAAGCCCCAGCTCTAGCCTTTGAAACTGTGTCCATTCTGACTTCCCTTTTCCACTGCCCCTCCCCCCTAAAAAAAAAATCTTGCATGGCTGCCTCCCTTCCACATGTGGACTGACCCTGAAGTGAGTGAAGCTTGGATTTCAGGAACCTTCTACTTATTTGCAATGGACCCTTCAAAGCCCCATGACTAATTTGGCTTCATAATTTTGTCTCCTTTTTCTCTAGAAGGTCCAGCAAATTGTATAAGCTTGTCTCCACACTGCATTTCTCACAATGCATTGCCTTCTAGAATTTCAGTCTAGCAGAGGAAAATTGCGTAAGTAAAGGCAATGCTCCTCCTTATCACTCAAATCTCTACCAAAT